ACATCAACTCAGACGTCTGAATAACCAGTTCAGGGGCGGTACAATCCCTACTGAAGTGTCCCGTCTTGACGCACTTGTAACAGCCCAACGATCCCAATCTACACGCCCCCTCATGTGGCCTGCCGCATTTCCTGCAGCGGCCTTGTCCTGACTGGCCTTTCGGCCTACCATCTGATCTCTTGGGCTTCTTCCCCGAAGCCCCATATGTTTGCCCCTCCTCTATCTTCCTCTTCCGGACATGCTCCAGATCGATCTCCCTCTCCTTTCCCTGGCAATCATGGAATCCAGGGTAGGGCAAGCTGAAAAACTAACATGCTCCCGAATGTCGGCTCGCAGCATGTCATGATAGCGGGTCCTTTTCATATCATCATCCCCCGCATACTGGGGCACCAACAATACCCTGTCTCGGAACTTTGCGGTGATCTCCGCCATAGTCTCCGTAGTCTGACTCATGTCCAGAAACTCCCTGACCAGCTGCTGAAGCTCTACACCTGGCGCAAACTCCGCCCTGAATCTGGTCACAAAGTCCGACCAGGTCATAGCCTCAACAGCCGAGGCTCCCAATGAGTCACCAACAGACTCTCACTAGTCTCTAGCTCTATCTCTCAAACACTGTGCTGCATATATATTATCTTCGACCCTTCAGGGCAGAAGCTGGTCATTTGGACGGACTCAATGTCTGCAATCCATCGTTTGGCAGCGATGGGATCCTTCACCCCATAGAAATCTGGCGCACCACTGCCCCTGAAGTCCTTAAAGGACAGTTTGTGGGACCTCGACTGACTGGTCGCCATGTCACTTCTGAACACCCTAAGGCGATCTTCCATCAGCTCGACAATCCCTTCCTTGATCGACCCGAATATGACCGAGGTCGCATCAAGTATGCCTCTGGTGATCTCAGATGCGATGAACTCGCGTAGCCTCTCATCCACTGGTTCGGAGCCTAAACCTGAACTCGATCCCTCTCCTGAGCTACCAACTACTGGCCTCTGACGTAGTACCACCATTCTGCAACAAATAGTGACAACCGCTAGTGATACTGATACATCCAAAGGGATCACATCCACCACAAGTTTCCCCGGATCCTTTGCTTTCAGTAGTACGGGCCCATACTACCTTCCACATCTATCCGTACCTTCCTCAAGAACTGCCTCGACTCCACCAGGTCCCTTTTACTACTGCTGATCTCTGCTATTCCCATCCTAAGCTTACCCTAGGGAAAATCTCTGACTTCACCCAATCCGGTCCTCAGCTGCTGAAGGCCTCCTTGTAATGACAACTATCCATTACCTGAATACCATCACATGTAATGAGCCTCAGATAATCTTTTGAGTAAAAGACTCGTCCCTACAACGGTTAGACTCAGACGAGAGTTGCGCAATAGGGCCAAATCCAACACTCTGAGATTATTCAACCCTGATCACATGTGGCGTAACGTATTCACCCAATGAATAACTCTCATTATTCAGAGTCCCACCAAGCACAAATCAAGCAGCTTTCGAACGCAGGAAAACTACTCAAGCGAATCTGTTCTCATAATGAGAAACCGTACTAGCATACAATGCTAAGCTCGTACTACCAGGCATAACCTAAACAGGCTATCCTACTACTGTCTACTTAATACTAGCATGCAATTCTCATAAGCTGAAGCACATAAAGCACGCACATAAAACATCATTCCTAGATCCTTAGACCTATTCTAACATGTTGTTCTACTAAAACTGATAGACATAATATAAACTTGTATAGGTACTTTGGGGAATACTTACTTGAGCTCGGCCGGTGGCGCACATCACACACTTTGTTCTTTCTTAAAACTCTTTTATCTTAGCTTTCAGGAAACCATTTTTCTTGTAAAAATCTTTTAATCCCTCGATTTGAGTCCAGACACCCCCAAGGGTGTGTCTGAATCCTTGAAACCAGGGCTCTGATACCAATTTGTAACGACCCAATTTTTAAGACCAAAAATTTCTTTTTAATTAACTAACTCATGAAAACATTCATAAGAGAATGCTGTGAAATCACATCATCTCATAAAACAATGTATCATGTCTGAAAAACCTAAGTCATAAAATAAGAACATGTCAGAGTACAATCCCAGAATATGCATAGTGCGGAAACCAAGAGTATGTGCATGATGTGCCGCTACCGCGCCAGCTCCTTCCCCTTCGCTGAAGAGGTACCTAAAACCAAAACTGTAAACTGTAAGCACGAAGCTTAGTGAGTTCCCCTATCGTACCACATACCACACAATCACAAAACATACATACTGTCGGGCAATTTTGGGGTGCCGACCTACCCGTACGACCATTCTGGGGTGCTGTCCTACCCATGTCAAGCCATTCTGGGGTGTTGACCTACCTGTCGGTCCTAACACCCGACCCTCGGGGACTATTCCACCCTTACTACTACTATCACATATATCATAACATGGACATACTATCAGACATATATGGGGTGTCCGACTACCCTTCGGTTCTAACAGCCGAACTTGGGGACTATTCCCCTCCTCCTACTGCTATCACATATAACATATCATGCCAGCATGTAAACATATCAGCACATATTATCAGACATATCTAGGGTGTCTGACCTACCCTTCGACCCTAACAACCGCACTCTACTACTATCACATAGAACATATCATGCCAACATATAACATATCAGGTAGTAGCAAACCTAGATGATATCACAAAGACAATCATCTTTTTTTACAACTTTTACTGGTAGGCCGGTATTGTGGCCGTAGGCCCACCGCTACTGGAAGGTAACTCACCTTGAACAAGTAGTTGCTGATAATCCATGTAGGAAGTCTCTGCCTGCTGCTGCTCCGGAAATCCTCCGGCTACAATCCCCACAAAACACTTAGTCAGAAACTGACATCTACTCTTAGGGTAAAATGACAATTTTGCCCCCAATCCAGTCCAAGTCAAAGTCAACTTCAAGTTGACCCAACTCGCCGAGTTAGGCCGGCAACTCGTCGATTCCCTAGCCCCTTACATGTCCTCATCCCCGACTCGACTCGTCGAGTTTGGCGATGACTCGGCGATTTCCTCTTCTATAAGAACATCGAAGGATCCTTCATTCGACTCGCTGAGTTGTATGAACAACTCGTCGAGTTCACCTTCATCTGATGAACAAGTCTGACCTCGACTCGCCAAGTTGTATGAACAACTCGTCGAGTTCATCTTCAATCTTAAGGAGATTTCCTTGGACTCGCCGAGTATGTTCTAGCACTCGTCGAGTCCCATGAACTCCAGGTCTAAAACTAAGTCCAATGCGTTGGGTCACTATTTCTATCCTTCTACAACCCTTCTAACACCCAACTGAGTTCTTTTGTCCCTCAATAGATATGGGACTCAAAGCCTTGGACTCGTCGAGTCGGTCACGTCCACACTCTAAATCCTCGATTTCTGATGTACAACCTTTGATCAAAAGGTAGATCCAAGCCCCTAGACTCGATCTAGCACGTAAAGTTACAAGTTTTACGTGTGTGCATGGAAGAATGAGCCCAAATGGCTCAAAAGGGAACTCCCAACATGCATGAGGCTTTTCATGGGTTCTAAAACAGTTGCTTTCTGCCTTAGGGTCCCTCAAGAACCCTAGATCCGAAACCCTAGCCCTCAACCATGCTTGCAATCATGGTTGTTATGAGTGTAGGTTAAACCTAGATGGCTTTCCTATTTATAGTTGTATCTTCTCTTCTTTTTATATACATTTTTACTCAATAATAAAACCCTAACAATTTTTCATCTCTATTGTTCGTTAGTTTATAATTATATTGTATGAAATATTATTAAAATAAATCGCAAATTTCATTGTACTTGATAACAAAGATTTTTCCAATCATTTTTAAGTTTAACTGTTTAAAACATATTCCTTGCATTTCATATCATATTTAGTGATATTGTCACAAATTTACTAAACTAATATGTCATGATCATTGAGATTACGTGTCATTCTTAAGTTGTGAGCGTATGTTAAATGTAACAAATTCTATATAATATATTGTTTTTAACTAATATAAAAATTATTAAATTAACTTGATGCTTTTATAAAATGGCTCTTGGTCGGACTGCTACTCCCTGTTTTTGCAAAGATAAGAGAAATGATTCGCTCTTTGGATGATATACTAAGACATCAAAATAGTTGTTGAGCTTGATGCTTTTAAGTTTGTAATATTACATATAATTTATTGTATGATATGGAAATAACCATCAACAATAATTAATTTATTCTAATTAGATTTACTTGTGAAATTCGAAACATAAGTTTTCATAAAATTTTGCTATGTTTATTTTTAATTAGTTTGTTTATCAAATAAATAAATAAAAAATAAAATAAAATAAAAAATCGTGACATTTAGAAGGAAATGAGCATGAGCATATAAAAGGTATATTTAAAAAGCTTATGAAAATTACCTGGTATCAATAAACTATGTCAAAAATACTTTAAAAAAATAAGCCAACAAACACGTTCTAAAAAATACATATATGCTTTAATCATTTTATTAATCCAAAGAACATATTTGGTTAATCATTTACTATAACGAACTTACAATTATTTTGACTATTTTATGTAAAATATTACATAAAATGAAAAAGAAAAAAAATATATATTGATATTGTATAGGACAATATTACACAACCCTTTGTAAATTAGCTTTTTCCAGACTTCAACCTTATTTTGTTTTTTATTTTGTATCCTGAAAAAATTGATTTTTTTTTTTTTCATTTTCTCCAAAAAAAACCCTCAACTCTTTACATTTTTTGGAGAAAACCTCAACCTTTTAATTTTTCCAAAAATAACCTCCACTTTTATTTTTTTCCCTAAAAAAATAAGTTACATTTGACAAGCTTTTCATAAAAAACAACTAAAATGGCCAAATCATAAAAAAAGCAAAAATGCAAGGTTTTCATGAGGAAAAAAATGAACTTAATGTTTTATCTGAAAAGAAAACACAATACATTAACCATTAATAAAATGATTAAAGCATCTTACGCTTTTACAATTATCCCTTGAGCTAATTATGGATCGATATACAATTCACATACATAATATATTGACACTAGCAATAAAAAGGGAAATACTTGAACAAATCATAACACAAACTCTATTCTTTTTCTTTTCCCATTTCATAATATCTCCAAAATAACCAAAATAAAAGTCATATATATGTCCAACTTATATTCCCTCCCTTCATAACCAAAATCCAGAAACAGAAAATCAACCACCTCATTGGCAGTTTCATAACACTAGGATATATATATATACCAACATTTTCAAATATGTACAAAGTCAACCCCAACATTAAAAAAAAAAAGACGAATATACCCTTCACCAAATTATACGATAACCAAACAAAGTCCCCTCCAAATCTCATCAATCTTTTTAGTTTTTAGGACTTACCCGATTGCCTTAACAGCAGCTGTTTCATGTCCATGTAAACTTTAAGCTCCTCTAATGCATCCGATGTGGTCTTCACCGGAGAAACCCTAGAAGAAGAAGCCGCCATGTTTGAGGCGGCAACAGGCGGAGGATCTTGAATCTGAATCTGCTTCTGTGAGTGTGATCGATTCAAATCTTGTTGAAGTGGTGGTGCTTTTTTCAGCATTTGAACAAGAGCACCAACTGCACGTTCATGTGGTGTTCCAAGATTTCCTGATCTATCTGATGAACCAGGTCTACAGCAATTTCAAATTTACATATTTCTATTAATAATAATATAATATTGCTGAATAAATCCAAGAGAAATGTAGATATTATTCATAATTTCATATACCTGCTACCAATACCATGATCAATCAGCTCATCATCATCAACCACAAAAGGACCAGAAAACTCAGAGTCATCATAACTATCTTCAAAAGATAACCTGCTACAGCTTCTAGAAAAAGATTTATGAGGAGAGCTGTTTGATGAAATCTTCACACCAGATGGCTTTGAATGATCTTCTTTCAACAACTAAATCAAGAAAAGAATATAGCTTAATAAGCTTCTACACACAAATCAAGAAAACTAATGAACTGTATTAGAATTGCGTAAAGGAAGTACCTTGGCACCCTGGAGTGCACTTGGGCTTCTCTCCAGTAAAGAAAGACATGGTCTGGTACCTTTATGGGGAGGAGAAAAGGGTAAAACTGTCTTATTGGAAGATAAAGGTGCATCACCAAGCCTAGAAGTGGGTATGTAAACAGGAGCACTATCAGAACGGAGGAGAACCTTCAACATGTTGCTTCCTTGAAGATACATGGGTGGTGATGGAGATGTAGAGGGTGAAAAGTTAGGAGAAGGGACATACTCATCATAACCCATGTCTTTGTTATGAACTTGAGCTATTTCTAGTGAAGGGTAACGTGATGAGCTAGTAGGTGGGCGATGGGGATGAGGATGAGGATGATTGCCAAATTTAGAGTGTAAAGTTCGTGATTCTGAATATGTAGGTGAAGGAGATGGTGATGGCAATGCTGAAGGTGGTGATGCTCTGTTTGCATCATAGCTCCAGCTATGGCGCCTTCCAAATGGAGAAGAAGATGGAGAGTATTGAGGCATTGGGACTGAAGGTAGCCTCTTTAGTGGGTCTGCTAATGGACTACCAACATAATCTGGGATGAATTGTGGGGACATTGGGGTAGATGATTCGGAAGTGGTATCAGAAATTGAAGGGAGATATAAGAGAGAAATGTGAAGTTTACCACAAGAAGTTTCCACAGGAGTGAACATGAACTGCTGCATTTCAGCTTCATCTCTACGGATGAGTGGCTCGACAGAAGATGAAACCCTATGAATAAGGTTAAATGATCGAATCTGGCCAGAAGAGTTGATTTCACGGAAAATCTTGTAAGCAGGTAAAAGCCTAACAGTTACATATAAGGATCTTAGAAGCAAAATTGATTTCTTGTACAATGCATGCGAACTGGTGGAGCTAGATCTCTTGCTACCAGAACAAGCTTCTTTACAACCCTTCTTGCTCTCATACTGAACAACCCACCTCTCGATGATCTTTTCAGTACTCCCATCACTACCAAATTCATCAGAATCTGATTTCCATACGAAAGGAAATCGATCTTTTGATGATGAGTTTCGCTCAAATGCTACTCTTGGGTTTGGGGAACTACTTGTGTAATCCCAATTGAGAGGCCTTTGAACCAGAACCACATCCACCACCATCGGCTCAAGGTTGCTCTGTCGCCAAAAATCGATATTCTCAAGCGCTGCAGGACAATCCCTGAGAGCCAGATTGAACCACTTATCTCTAGGTCTCGTACTGGAAGAAGACGATGCAGAGGAAGAAGGAGAATACAAAATTTGCTCCCCACTATAATTACGTGAAGAGACGTAGGGACATCTGGATTCAAGTATAATATGCAAACTCTTTGCGAAGAATTCTGTGATTATCTGTTCCATCTTTGCCGGTTCCGAGTGAGGATTTACTGCCATGATCGAAGCGGAAAGGGTTCGTCCGATAATTTCAAAAATCAGTAAATGAATCCCAGTGATTTCAATCACACAGATTTAACATGAACACCGCTCACAAAAACATTCAAACAAAGTGATAAGAAATGAATCCGACTACACGAGGGTAGTATTATATCATCAAACGCTTCGACATGTACATCATAGTTTTGCAAGATAAGAACCCTAGATGATACAGTACAGGTGCGATTGAGGGTTTAGAGGACTGCAACTGCGACAATTGCAAGTGGAGGAGGTTGTGGAGTAAAGAGAGTTAGAAGATTGAGTATCTACAGTTGAAATGATCAGTTAGGGCATCTGCAGGATCCAAGGAATCATCGGAGGAAGAAGTCTCCATGATAGCAGAAGATTGAATTTGAGGGGGTTGGGGTTGCGGGGTCTTGGAAGTTAAATGGGCCCACGATTGTGCAAATATCAAATGCGAAGCATGTCTATCTCCTATCCTCCTCAATTGATTGCTAAATAATCAAAAAAATACAAGAGAAAAAAAAAACGCATATTCACAAAAATAACAATCAAAATATGTCATATTTTATATCTAATTTTTTATGATCATAAGATATTTTGGATAATTCTAAATTTATTTCGGACTAAGTCAATGTTTAATAAAAGATATATTTTTATGACAAAAAAATGTATTTCATATTGTGGACTACAAATTTTATATTTTAGAAAAAATAAAAATAAAAATCCATATGGAATACTAGAATTCCGAGAGCTTATTTGTAAAATAATGGTGATGCACTCTTGTTTAAGTGGCTTAGGGTGCGTTTAGTTGCGGAAAAATGGACCGTTTTCCAGAAAAAATTTTCAAGAAAAATAAGAATTTTGAAAACGCGTTTAGTTCGTCTATTTTTCTAAATTTTTCACGGAAAATAAAATTACAAAGAGGTTTGAAATTTTTGGAAAACTAATAATCATTGTTTTCCACATTTTTCTAATTCCAAATTTTTTCTAAAATATAAACACACACCCACTCCCACTTCCATCCATCCACCTCTACCTACCCCCACCTTAACACCCCCCACACACACATACATACCCACCCCCACCCCCCCCCCCCCGCGCGCGCAAACACACACACACCAATCCACAAACACATGCACACCAACCCATAAACACACACACACATACATACCCACCCACACCCACCCACAAACACACACACACCCACACCCACAAACACACACACATACATACCCACTAGCGCACCCACACACACACACAAACACACTCACACACATACCCACCCATACCCCCACAAACACACTCACACGCATACCCACCCACACCCCCCCCCCCACACACACACACACAAACCCACACTTACCCCCACCCTCACAGACACACACACACCTACACACAAACCCACACCTACCCCCACCCCTACCCTCACAGACATACACACCCACACACACAAACCCACACCTACCCCCACAAACACATGCATACACACACACACAAACACGCACTCGAACCCCCACCCACCTACCACCACCACCACAATCACCGACCTACCATCACCATCACCACCACCACCACTGACCCGTCATTAGCACCACCACCACCACTGCCGCCGCTATCACCACCACTGACATAATTGCCGCCGCCACCACCATGGCCTGTCATCACCACCACCGCCGCCGACCTGCTACCATCACTGCACCCACCCACACCCTACCACTGCTACCGTTTTCTAAAAATGAAAACCAATAGAAAAATACACATCTAAACACGTTTTCTAATTTTCTAAAACTGAAAATGAAAAATGAATAAGTTTAACTAAACGCGTTTTCTAAATTTTTCAATGAAAATGAAAATGGAAAACAAAAATCGAAAAGGGAAAACAAAAAACGGAAAATGAAAACTGTTTTTCCGTAACTAAACACAACCTCAATCTCTCAAACTTATATGCACATTCAAAGAAATCGCCTTTTGTAGATGTGTTTGTGGAATTGTGGTATTTCACTTAAGTTTTTTGGTTTATTTGAGTGATAAAAACCTATATGTATGTTACTTTGGTTGCCCATATTTTCCAAATAAGAATGAAGATTATGAGTATTTTAAGTGGTATGATGAAGAACTACATTACAAAAAAGAAATTTGTTAAGATGTATGACCAATCAAATAAGATGATTGAGCAGAAGACAGTATGCAATAACCAATTAAAGCAAACAACAGTTATGCAATGATCTGAAGAGGGTTCATATTTTTTTGTGCTTTTCATTAGTTTTGGTGTTTTGGTTATTTTGTTCTTCTTTAAGATTTTGATCATGTAAGTACATTTCCCTAATTAGTTGAATGTCATCAATAGGTTTGTAAGGCATGTATAGCGTTTTATATAATATTTGTATGAGGAGTGAAAAATAAAATAAAAATACATATTAATGTTTAATATACATTACATAATGTCTTATCAATAATACATCAAACATGTTACATAATGTGTAAAGCATCCATCAAAATTGTCTAAGAGTGAACATCAAACTTGTCAATGTAATTTTCAGTTACGTTCATAACATTTTCAGTAAATATTAGTCAGCATATGTGCATCTTCCATTCTTTTCATTAACTTCATGGACCTTTTTTATATCTTTAGAAATTGTTATCAAGAGCGTTGTCATATGTCAAACTATTGATTGTCGGTGATCCTCGATCTATGAAGCTGATAATTAAATTTTTATGCTGCAAAAGAGATCTTGTAGAAGTTTAAACTAAAAAATGATGTCCAACATAGTGTTCTCAACAAAATTGTGGTGTGCCTCCATGCATACCACTTAAACTTATAATCCTGGTTGTGATCAAGGTCACGTAGTAGATAGTTGTGATTGTGAAAACAACTATAATTTTAATAACTATAGTCTTAAAGTACAATATTAATGCAAAAAGGTAACAAATTAAAATATAGTTTTTTTTTTCTGTTTCTAACTACTAGATTGGTATTTTGTAGTTCATGGAGTTCTAAACATTGACAAAACACACTATAGTGATATAAAATAATAGTCTTCTAAGGCTTGATACACGTCTTTAGGAGTTATATCTACTTTCAAATTTAGTTTCAACACCTTATTTTTTTACCTCCTTAATTTCACATTTGGCGTAGGTTTTGGTTGTGTTTCCATAACTAGTTTTTCTCCCTACAAATAAAAACTTAGTTAGTAGGATATAATAGGTCGTTTAATGGTAAATATAACATGTGCATATAACAAATCACTTACCATAACCCTTTTTAATTATGATGGTTCATTTAATAGATTTATTAACTCATTGTCTCTGTAACCTACTTTTCTAAGCAACATGCATGTAAAGTCATAAGTGCACCATGAGACCTCCTTTGGTTTTCAGTTTGATTTAGAGCATCCACGATGCATTAAATTTATTAGATTTTAATGGATTGACACATTATCATTTTACTTACATTAATTTTCCTACAATGCATTAAACTCAATAGAGTTCAATGAAATATATATTTAATAGTTAAAAGGTTTCATTTTTCTCATTGAAGAGTTCAATGACCATTGAACTCCATATCCATTTAATGTCAACATGGCATCCTACAATGGTAGAGTTTAATCCATTGAATGTCAATTAGACATGACACTTCATTCAACTCGCTTATTGAACTATGAATTGTGGATGCTCTTAGCATATTTCGATGTATAAAAACCACTAACTATTATAAATGAAATTAATATCTAACTATAAAATTGTACCAAACCTAAATACAAACTGCATCATACCTAACGACAAAATGCATAGCAAATATCAAACATGCATGAAACCCATTTTGGAAATGTTCTTCGGATCTCTAAATGGCTTTCCACTTTGGACATCATTTTCATGAACTTTTAACTTAACTACAAAACTAAACATGACTCATAACATAAATACTACAAAAGATACGTGAAATGCCTATTTTTTTTTTAAAAAAATCAACCTATTTTGAAAATGTTTATTAAGTTTCGGACAAGGGTTTAATAATGTATACTATGTATCATTCCTTGTATTGTATTGTAGCCCATTAGTTAGTTCATATGTATTAGCTCCAAAGTCTATTGTAAATTGTATTTATACTCCTTTGTTTAATGAATTCATGATGGAAAAACATTCATCAAACATGGTATCATACTCTTTCCTGATTTTGGTTCCCTCCCAACCAAGATTAGAAAATGAAGGCCATTGCTGATTTGTTGGCTAATATTGACGCCCCGGTCCCAGAGAAAACCCTAGCTACCTACATGCTCAACGGCCTCTCCCTAAATTTTGAGAACATCTCCATGCTTATCCACCATAAGGACCCGCTTCCCTCATTCCTCGAGGCTCACTTAACCCTAGTCTCCGAGGAGTTTCTTGTCAACCGAAATCACTCCCCTTCTCCTGCCCATTATGATCATGGTTCTTATGACATCCACTATTTTTTAGAATAAAAAAAATGTACACTTTAAAATCATACCAATTTTGTTTTCGGATGTCATAACTAGCATCTTAGGACTAGAAATTTATATCCATGTACAACTAGCTTCCTTTGTGTAACTATGTAACACTATGTGTAGTATAAGTTAATTTCAATACAATACGAATTTATACATCCACAATTGTTTTGCTAGTCAAAATTTCCTCATGTAAGCGCAAAACATAACCTAATAAGTTGTATTCACTCAACTTCGGGCATTAACCCAAGCTTTCTCGGTCCAAACCTCTTAATGGACCAAAACTTTCTTGTTGGGCCCTAATGGGCCGATAACCTCATAACTTGGTTCCTTTGGGCCGAAAACCCACTTTTAGGCCATAATTGGGCCTAAAATCTCTATTTAATACCGTATTGGGGCATTAGACCCTTATTGGGCCATGAAGAATTATTTCAAGCTTCTTGGGTCGAAAAGCCTTACCATTTAGCCTCATTGGGCTGCAAACCCGTATATGGGCCTTCATGAACCGAAAATCATTATTAGTCTTAGGGTTCT